CACAAATGATGAAATTCTGTCCCTTATTCATAATTATTTCTTAAACTCATAAAACTAATAAAAGACATCATGAGTGCAGATAAAATGAGACATCACCTGTAACCTTCAGAGAACTCATAAAACAATTTCATTCCCTAAAATGAGATTTCAGTGAAGCAGGCTTGAGAAAAACTCAACAATGCAAGTAACACCATTTTAAATACCCAAACATATAATTCATTATTTTACTTTAAGGAAGATTTCAGTTAGATTGATGGTTGCTCTAGCAAACTCAGGCTTGCTATGTAGGATGTAAAATTTTCTTAGGCTAATTTTTTCCAAGTCCTCCCTTTTTGTTGGGAGGAGTTTTGCAGGCAGGAGGGTCGTTGACGCCCTTGGTAACCAAGACAAATATGCTAATTATCTGAATATTTTTAATGGAGACCATTCTGATCATATGGACTGCATTTTTATTAATTACCCAAGCATTCACATCACACCAGCATATGATTATGACAGACATCTTTCACTCATCGCTTCAGCCCAAAAACTCTATGTGTGCTACCAATGATTAGAGCAAGACCAGTGGGCCTGAATTATGTTACCAATTTAAGAAAATGGGGAAGGTCTGTCTCTATTCTCTGATTGAAAAATTATGTAATTTCTGTACAAAGAGTGAGCTCTCATAAGAAATTGTGCAACAGTACTAGGGTAAACTGAAAAGATGGATGCAAATTGTTCCTTCTTCTACTCACACTCTTTGTAGTGCCTGCTTTTACTGACTCAGGATGCCCCAGGACTTGCTCTGGCCAGGCTTTCATAAACATAGTCCTTATGCCTCAAGGCTTCTCCACCCACTGCTCTTGGGAGCCCACCACTATGAATAAGTGCTGCATATATATACTACATATATCCAGGGCATTCCTGATATCACAGTTGACTTTGAGACAGCTGCCAGCCAACCCAACTATCCCAGACTAGAAAATCCACCCAGCAGGCCTCCAGAACAAGAAATGCTGTGTGCTGGAGTTTCTTTTGTTTTTGTTGTTGTTTCGGTTGACTTGAAGTCAGGGCCTCTTTCTTTCCAGGCAGGTACTCTACCACTTGAGCACTTTTGCTTTAGTAATTTTTCATATATGGTCATGCACTTACATATTTTGGTAGACATCTTTACAGAATTCTGTAACATATACACATGAACTAGTCAGGAGGCAGTGTGGTCCCTTCCTAAAGAGGACATTCTCCAATGACCAGTTCTAAGTTCCAGTATTTCTTATTAGAAATGGTGTTTGATTTTGGTGAGATCAACCATGAAAGTAATTATCTAAAGAAATCCATATCAATATGAAATATTTTTACCTAAAAGATATAAGTTTCACTAAAAATAAAACTACACATGATCCAGCAATACCACTTCTAGGCATCTATCCGAAGGAATGTAAGTCAGGATACAATAAAGACACTTGCACACCGATGTTTACTGCAGCATTATTTACAATGGCTAAGCTATGGTAGCAGCCCAGATGCCCCACTACTGATGAATGGATTAACAAATGTGGTATTTACATACAGTGGAATTTTACTCAGCCATAAGAAGAAATGAAATTTTGTCATTCACAGGTAAATGGGTGGAACTGGAGAACATCATCTTAAGTGAAGTTAGCCAGGTTCAGAAAGATAGCATCTTTTCTTTCTTATATGGATAAATCTATATATAAGCATTATCTTATATACATATAAATATATACAGAACATGTTTCCAAAAGTGGGACTGTTAGAGGAGACTAAGGGAGGAGGAAAAGAAGATTAAGATGATAGTGAATAATAATGAAATACACCACACATGTGTAGAGGAACAAGACAATGAAGCACACAGAAAACTGTTGAATAATATAGGGTAGGGGAAAGGGTACTAGCAGTAGAGAGAGTTAGACTGATTTAAACACAAAATAACTACAGGTAAAATATCATGGCAAAATCCCCACTGAACACTGAACAGACACTTAAACAATGGACAGGAATGTAAAAGAGGTCATGGTAAAAGGAGGGCCCTAGTGGGAGGAGGAGGGCAAATGAAGAGGGTAAAGGAGGGTGAATATGATAGATGTACTTTCTACCTGTGTATAAATATGGAACACTGAAGCCTGTCAAAGTCACTTTAAGAAGGTGAGTGGGGCAAGAGGGAGATTGAGGGAATGAAGCAAACCTGGGTATAATATATGTATGCATGGAAATGCCATAATGAAATCTCCTGTATAACTGTAACTGTTATATACTAAGAAAAATGTATAAAAATAATAATAAGTGATTTTATGAAAAAAGATCTAGGTTTCAGAGAAATATTTACAGTTCATTAGGTCCTGACATTCACTCATTCACTCACTGAATGCAATTGAATACTGAGCCAGGGGAAAGCCCTGCTGCAATCTTCATTTCAAAGCATAATTTCCCTGACTAGTTTAAATACAGTCTCTCTTATTTCATTATCTGCTAGTCCACAGCAAAACTGATTTCTAAGTAGGTCCCTCAGAGCAGATCTAGATCATTGCATAGAATTTCTGCCCAAGTAAGTGAATTTTATTTTCTAGGTACCAGCAGAGTTCACAGGTAATGATGTGGCCATTAAAACATTTTGCTCACAGGAAGGAATTGTCAAATGATGAATAACTGGACATTCATACATGCATATTTCAAACAGCTGCTCACACCAGATATGTTAATGAATGTTAGGAATGACTAAAGTTGAATTTCTAGTCTGTAGAACAAAAAGTAACTCTAGGGAGGTAACCACTAGACTAGCCACTATATAAAGAATTAATACCACATAAACAGGGCTGGGGGCATGGCTCAGGTGGTAGTATGCCTGCCTAATAAGTGTGAAGTCCTGAGGTCAAACCCCAGTTCCACCAAAAAATACTACATAAACGACATACTTTTATGTCTGTGTAATATATATGCATATATAGCATACATATACATATTTGTATATTACACAGACACATACTTTAAAACAGCAAGAATTAATAGCAAAATTCTGCTGGTGAACACTTATCTGGCATATCACATTTTCTTTCTTAATGATCATATTTTCTTTATTAACCACCAATACCCTCCCCATAAAGCTTATATTTCTTCTCATATTTTGTTAACCAATGGCTGACAGTGCTCAATTAGAATTTATCATGAAATGCTATTTCATGAGTTTATTTTTGAAGAAAAATCATGATAGTAAATGAAGCCTAGGTTGGCCAAATAAATAATCTCATGCTCAGAAGATATAGAAGTTCAAATGTACCTCAAAATCAACCAGAATCTGCTATTTATAAAACTCTCTGCACTACTACTATGAATTAGATCACGTCCTCCCCAAATTCATATCTGGAGCCCTAGCCCTCAGAGTGACTGTCTGGAGATAGGCTCTTTAAGGTAATTAAGGTTAAGTGAGGTCATGACGGTGGGACCTAACCTAATGAAACTGCGGCCTCCTAAAATGAAGAAGAGAAGCCAAGTGTGGTGGGAGGCTGAAGCAGGAGAATTGTGAGTTCAAAGTCAGCCTGACTACACAGTGAAACCCTTCCTCAAGAAATAAAGAGAAGATAAAAAGATCTCTCCCACCCCACCCCTCTCCCATAAATGCCGCCACCATGATGTGGTCACAGAGTCTCCCCCAACTGCCCCCTCCACAGTGGCCATCTTTGCCATGATGTGGGGATTACAGACACATGATCTGCATATCTTGCTATCCCCAGGGGATAATTGTAATTAACTCGTGTCTAAAAGATCTGAGAGTACTTTAAATTGATATCGTTTTTACATGTGTTGCTTTTCACATATTAGTCTGCCAAAGATTGGGCAAAACAGTGAAACACCAGGAAGAGAGCCCTTGCCAGCATCCAAACCCTTAGATATTTCAGCCTCCCAAACTGGGAAAACATAAATTTCTGTTGTTGAGTCACTCTGTCTATGGCATTTTATTATGGAAGACCCAGCTAAATAATACAGCAATTTACCCAAACCTCCCTGTTTGCTCATCTGAATTACAGGAAGGTGAGTTGAAATAATTGCTAAGAAGTCTTCCAAATCTAACTCAGACCTCTAAGATTTCAGTAAAAGGTTATACTAAAAGATTTTATCTGGAATAAGAAAAACTCACACTGAATAAAAACAGTGCAAGTAGCTACCAGAGATAAATCAAAGGCTAAAGATACCACCCCCCCACACACAACACACACACAAATATTCAACATTATTATGGGGACAGTGTTGCACAAACTTTGGTTCTTTGAGTTATATGTTAAATCTGAGTATCACCTACATTTTTTTTCACTTAAAACATGTTTATAAAGTGGAGAGTAGGACAGTGGTCATAAGACTAGGAGGGGAAAAGGGACAGACAAGCTGGATAGCAATACTGAAACACAGTTACAAAGGAGAAATAAGTTCTAGTGTTCTACAGTACTTGGTAGCATGACTATACTTACAATGATTTATTATATATTTCAAAACATCTGGAAGAGAGAATTTTGAATGTTTCAATGCAAAGAAATGATACATCCTTGAAGTGGTGGAACTGCTAACTACCTACTTTGGTCATTATACATTGTATACTTGTATCAAAACATCATGTTATACAACATAAATATGCACAATAATGTGCTGGTTAATTTTTAATGGAAAAAATTGCCTTTAAATATAATTTAAACTGGCTAATTTTTTAAAAAATCAGCTACAGGCTAAGAAACCAGAATCTTGACTGGACTGATTTTATCCATTTTTTTCCTAACTATAAAAGAAATGTATATTGTAAAGTAAAATAGAATTATGCTGGCATACCCTCAATGGCATATTAAACTTTGGAAAGTACTTTTGTGGTAGCTTACAAAAATAAGAATATAAATACTGGCCTACCACATAAGATGCTGTGTTTAAAGGACCTCCTTTCATTGCATTTATTAAGAGAGGAAATCATCAGCAGTTACATCCATCATTCTTTCATTGACCAGAGACTCTGATCCCATACATTATTGTAAAAAGGGAACAATGGGACTACCAGCCAATGAGAAGACTTTTTGTTTTGCGTCTGAATTAGCATAAACCCCACTCTCATCATGCCAAGTGTTGATGCCATATCTCTTGGAGCCATCCAGATCGGTGAACTGAGAACGGCATTTTCTGTGGACTATGGAGTAATCATCTTGACAGGGATAACCCTATAGGGAGAAAAAAAGAGAAATAATACTGAATGACAAAATCCATACAAAGTACTGCTCTCCACTAGTTGATCTTAACGTATCATTCTTATGATTAAAGGTAAATTTTCAGCTACTGATAATTTGACTTCTCAACAAATGTCTCAATGAGAAAAAGATAGCTATTGTATTTATAAGTATTTCAAATCCTGAAAGAAGAATCTAGCTCATGGTTGTTTTATTTATAAAACTAAATAGCTAAATTATTATAAATGTAAGTTTTTTTTTCTAATCCTTAGGTACACAGCATAGAAAGTAATTTAAATGTTATATGATCATAAGAAACAGAATTTAACTACCAGTCAACACCCTTTTGTTGCTGTTGCTAATATATTATAATCATTACAAACAACAATATTTTGGCTTACATCTATAATAATTCCTATCAAGTCATACTTCCCACAACAATGGTAAATGCCAAGTTCTAAGATTCATTCCTATGAGAAATTCACCACAAAATAACCCATTATAGTTTAAAATGTTTATTCTTAGGTCACTTCATAAAAGCTTCATTGTAACAAAGTAAAACATTTTCACTGGCCATTTCCCAAAGGAAATATTGATTCTTTCAGATTACACTAGGGGTGATGGTAGATATGGAACATAAAACCTATGAACTGATTATCTAATTCCTTCTTTAAATTGTTTCTAATTTTAAAGCACTAGGACAATATTGAAATGAAATCACCAGAGCTATAAAACAATGAATGGACACCAAAGTAGCTCTAATCTCAGACTGGTTTTGTTGAAAATAATTGAATTTTTTAACCATATGTTTAACCATAATAGTGTCCATTTATCTCCTGAGTGCCCATTATGGGTACAGTACTTCAATGTTTATATCTTTTAGTTCATAATTGGACTCTGAGGTACAAATTATCACTACCACTTTACACATAAGAAAAGAAAATTTAGGGGGTGGGGGCGGGGGGAGAAATGAACCAAGCCTTGTATACACATATGAATAATAAAAGAAAAATGAAAAAAAAAAAAAAGAAAAGAAAATTTGCCTAAAATCTCAGCAGGAGAGAATTTAAAGAAAGCTAATGAAAAGGTACTACAAAGTAGGTTTGTGTCATTATTCCTCCATAAACTTTCAAGAATTAAGAAATGAAAAGAAGTATAAACTATGAAATCATAAACTTACATAATATCCATGACATTATTCTATATAGTTTGGACTTTTTCTTTTGTCATTGGGGGGTTTGTTTTGGGTCTTTTTATTGGTTGGTTGGTTGGTTGGTTGAATTGATAGTTTGGATGGATGGTTGGTTGATTGGATGGTCAGTCCATTAAAGTCAGGTACTTTAAATGACATTTGAACATCATTGGCCCAAACTGTGCCCTCAGAGGGAGGCAAGTTTTTCTCATTTCCATCTTTACTGCAGTCCAACTACAGACTATTTCAAAAACAAGGTCATTATGTTCCTTTAGCATCTCATAGATAGAAGGGAGGGTAATTTATGAGGTAAATGAAAAGTCAAAATGTTACATCTTAGGAAAATGGTTCTGGCCACATAACTATTAAAGACTACAAATAGAAAGGAGTGGATTTTAGAAATGTCAGAAGAACTGGCTCTCAATAACTCACTTGTCATCAATTGATGGATGGATAAACAAGTGTGGTTTATAAAGTGAAGTATTATTTGGCACCAAGAGAAATAAAATATTGATAGATGCTACAACATGGATGAACCTTGGAAACATTTTTCTAAGTGAAAGAGCTAAATCAAAGCACCACATATTATATGAGCCCATATAAGAAATGTCCAGAGCAGGCAAGTCCACAGAGACAGAAAAGTAGATGAGTAGTTGCCAGGGAGGTGGGAGGATGAGGAAGATTGGGGAGAGACTGTTAATGGTATGACAAAAATATTTGAAAATTGATTGTGGTGATGATTTACAGCCCTATGATATATTAAAACAGTAAATTGTACACTTAAAAAGGGTGAATTTTATGGCATGTGGAATTTTATGGTGCAAATAATCTCAATAAAGTTGTTATTTAAAAAAACAAAAAGAATGAAAGCATTGAAGGGAGCAATTCTTCAGTTAGGAAAACTAGTTAAGAGTCTGTTGCATGTTAACAACCATTAAACTAAGTGCCTCTCATCAGTGATATATCATCAGTAAAGCAGTTCTAAAAACAAAATAAACAAAAAAGCCAATGGGTAACATTTGCCAGTTTCAGTTGATATAAACACTCCTGCTACTGCTGACTTCATGTCACCACAGTGAAATCATTGACCAATGACTTACAAAGCCAGGAGTTTAATCAGATCACTCAAACTGTTAAGAAAGAGCTAGCTCCAGGTCACCCTGAGTCCAATTCTCTCATTTCCCAAGGAGCAGTTGCCATAGAGTGACCCTAGTCCCAAGGATAGGGGAAGAATCTAATTTGTCTAAGCAAATCAGTGTATTTTCACCCCATTGTCAAAAACAGTGAGGGGCTCAGTATTTGGCATGATGGTTTACTCTGTCAAACAGATTAAAGCCCAGGATTTTCATTCAATAGTTTGGGTAAAAGAAGCTCCCTTTCCACTACTGGACAAAAATATAGCATCTAGCCCAGACTGCTGTTGGCAACCCTCCTACAACTTGTCTAGCATGAAACGAACACGTAAAATGAAGACTTGAGAGTCAATAAGGAACATGATGCATTGTTATATTGATGGTTTCCTGAAGGCTGACATTTTTTTTTTAAAGTGTAAGCCAACCAATTGCTTTTATTGCTAAATTCAGTTTGAGCTGGGCTTTGTGCATCTTACTAAAAGTATTCTAACATACACCTGAATAGCATGCAATACTGGAATAGTGAGGCACTTAGAGTCAGAGCAAGGAAATGAGTCAAAACCAAGGGAGCAGAGTATGTCTTAAAAAGTCAGAGTGCAGGCAAACAGAAAACTTGTGATGTACCAGGACTCAGAAGGATACAATATGGAACAGACAAACAAGTTAGGTATTTAAAAATTAGCATAAATTACTAGCAATCTGGAGGATACAGTTTATCATTAGAAAGCACATCAAGTATGCTTTTCAAAGTTTGATACAAAAGCCTGAAATGGAATTTTAAAAAAAAGGAAGTACCCAAGAACACCCTTAAAGGACCTTAACAATGACTTCAGCTCGGATGATGAGAGTCCTGGATAAGCAAGAAATTTGGAGTACCACTCAAAGCAATATAGGAGGACAGTAATTTAAAATTATTAATGCATTTCCCCTTCAGTATATGTAACCATTTATTTGCCTAAGAAGAGATTAAAATTTGTTTCAGAAAAATGCCAGCCAAGAGCAAAGTAATGTCAGCTTCCAATTCGCAAAATAGGGGGTTTTTTTCAGCAGGATAATAGCCTCATAATCCAACACACAGAATTGAGGACTTCAGAATATCAACGATCAAATGCCAGATCATGGAGTGCTCCAAATGTGTAGAGAAAATAGCTTTTAGTCTGAAGGTTTAGAAAAGAGTTGGGGACAGAAGGAAGATGGGGAAGACTCTGGGGAATCAAAGGAAGGGAAAACTAAGGGAAGGGGAAAGCACGACAGTAGAAAGAGCCAACCTATTTCCCACTTTTCCTGTCCCTTGCATTAGTCTGGCAGAGTCCCTTTGTTTTGGCAGAGACGAATGCATCAGTAAATGAGAATAATAGCAAAAAGACACAGGGGGTCTTCTGGCCCCAATCCAGTGGAGAACCCTTGAAGCAGACTGCCTTTCATTTGTCTAGAGTGTTCAGACAGAAGTAGCCTCCAAGATTCATCTATCCTGAGCTGCTTATCTGTGGCATAAACACAATAGCAGTAGCTGCAAGTCTTCAGAAAGGGGGTATTAATAGGGACTGCAGAGCTGATCATTGGAGCCAGGGCTGACTGGAGTCACAGATGGCTTCTGTGGGGTCTATAGTATCAATGGGAAGGGGAAAGAAGATCAATTACTCCAGCAAGGAAAAGAGCACCAGATAGACCAGGGCATCACACCAGAGACTGGAACAGGCAGAGACCTATATGTAAACCCCACTCTTACTCCCCAGCATCAGGATGCTGAGTCATATTCCTCTCACCATAAGCTAGACCCCTCTTAGGGAGAGCAGCCATTACTATTGCTGCCTAACAAGTCTCCCACAGATAGTAGTATACAACAGTAGCCATTTTATTATGCCTCCAGATTCTTTGGATGGGACATGCCAAGACAGCATCTCTCTACTCCATAATATCTAGGGTCTCAATTGGGACAACTTGAAAATTAGGGGTGACTTGAGGGCTAGGGTCCGGAAACACTTCTTATTCCAACTGGTAGTGGAGGTTGGCTGTTTGCTGGGATCTCAGCTGGGCTATTGGCTACAAAGGCCCTCTCCGTGTGCTTGCTTAGGCTTTGTAACAACATGGTAACTAAATTCTGACAATGAGCATGCCACAAAATAAACCAAGGAGGAAGGAGTGTGGCTTTTTATGACCTCGCTTCAAAAGTCCCATAGCGTCACTGTCACCATAGACACAGTTCAGCCAGAATCTAGGACAGGTAGGATAAACTCTGCTTCTCAGTGAAAGAGTATCAAAATCACATTCTAAGAGCAATGGTATGGACAGGAACACAATTTTTTATATTTATTTTTGAAAAGCAATTTTTTCTCTTTTTTTCAGGGAGAAGAGTAGGATGTTTCAAGGTCCCCAAGACCATTTCTAAGACTGACAATTTTCTAGAAGAACTCACAGTTGTACTCATGGATCTGATTTATTACAGCAAAAGGATAAAAGCAAAATCAGCAAAGAGAAAAGGTGAATGAGCTAAAGTCTAGAGGAAAGCAGATGCAAACCTCCAAAAGTACTCTCCCAATGGAGTCAGTGAGTTGTGACACACTCCCTACCAGGGAAGCTCATTAGGACTCTGTGCCCAGGGCTTTTATTGTAGATTGGTCACATATACATCCTTCACCTGGTATGTACCAAAATTTCAGACTCCCAAA